TTGTCAAGATCTTCATGTCAAATAACCAAGAAACTTCATTAACGCGGAACATACCTTGATCTATTGATTTGTAACTTGAAAAATGAATCTTGAATCCTGATCTTTTGTTCTTCAATGTAATTGCTCCAAACCCTCTTCTTGATTTTTTACTGTGGATTTATGAATCTTCCTCTTCAATATGCTTTCTCTTGTATTCTTGTATTGATGAGATAACACAAAGAATGAGAAAATTCATATGAATTTGGGACTATAACCCTATATATAGTTTCCACATGTATTCGACATATCGTCAAATACAAATCCTAATGGATCTGATCATTACATATATAGTTCGGCACACACTTTATTTAGATGTCCAAAATTCAATTATTTAATTCTTTATTAGATTACTTTAATTTTGGGTTTAAGTTTAAGATAGCATTTATACACAATTAATTATATATGTCAGCACACATGGCAAATTTAATAATTTCCCAACATGGCATGCATCGGGCCATAATTGAAGTTACTTGATTGACGCTAGAATGGAAGTATTGAGCACTCTAATTTCTTCAAAGTAATGGCTCTAGAGGTACGATTCAATCTATTAAGGTAAGGAGCGCATTGTTGACAGGGACGAAACACTCAGTGTACACCATAGGCTCAAGATGAAAAATTCCTGCCCCATTCAATGTAGGACACGATGAGGCATGGATTTTTATGAGCAAATTGCCATCCCTCTTCATGTGAGGGAAAAACAACTTAATGGACGGTTTTGGATGAAATTCATTCAAGGACTTCTTTATGTTAGATCGTGAGAAATTTGTGTCTTCTCTCTTCATTTTTATGTTTTTCTTCAATGTAAATTGTTTGTACAATAGTCCAATGTACGTCTAATGGGTTTTTTTTCACCATTTTTTTCCCGGTATGATCAAATTTAGGGATACTTCTATAAGAAAACACTAGGACACTAGTTTATCACTTTGAGGTCGTGAGAACTTTGTGATTTGCTCTCATTCATTCCCTTAACTTTCATATCTCAGTGTTAGTGTCTATCTAATTGCTCATAACAAAAATAATTCAGAATTAACATTCCAGTTTTTAATATTTTAATTAACTTTTCTTCCATTATACTCGAATATTGTCTAACCTACGTTATCAAACATACTCTCTCATTTTTTTTTTGAGAATGTTAGTCATATTTGTAATAGTGCATGGAATTGGTTTTTACTTTTTACCATGCAAATTTGTCCAAAGAATTGGGGGTGTCCAAAAGTCCTGAACCGAACCGAACCCGAACCGAATCGAGCGGTTCTACATAAATTAAATACCCGAACGGGTACCCGAATCAAGAACCGACAGGTTTGGATCGGGTATCGGGTCTAGACCAAGAACCGAAACTAAATAATTTTTTTATTTTTTATATTGAATTAATTAAATTATTTTATTTTTTTCTAAACAAATTAGCAAATTAATTAAATAAATCAGATTATTTCATAATTTTAATTTTAAAACCCAAATCATTTTTAAANTTTTTTTTTTTTTTGCCAAAATACATTTTGGAATAAAATTTTGTTAGAAAATGTGGTGCTAAAAAATAAGGAATTTTTTTTTATTGAATATGAGCAAACGGAGATACCCACATTAATAGCAGGCTTGCTTGAAGATTTACTTTTAGCAAAACAACTCTCATAGATCAAATCAACTCGATCATTTCCTCTTTAACGACGCTGAGTACTTATCAATATTGAATATGTTCAGATTCCTCAATGATGAAGACTACCATGGTGGCTTCGAACAAGGAGAAATCGAGGAAGTGTTATTGGCAATGGAGTCTAATTACGAGGCATGGGTAAACGGTTTCGCTCCTTTATCAGTGGGAGCCGACGTGCCGGCGGCAGTGAGGGAATTTAGTCTGACATTATTCAATATGAGGCCAGACATAGCACTATTCGTGTCACAAACTGTTTTTAGTAGCGACTTAAGGGGTGTATTAGGCCTAGTGAAGGTGCCATGTTCGATAATCCAAACTGCTAAAGATGTGTCGGTGCCGATGTCAGTTGCGACCTATCTGAAGAACCAACTCGGCGGGCTGAGCACGGTGTATATGTTGGATACTGAGGGCCATTTGCCTCACCTTACTGCCCCTAATATGTTGGTGGAAAAGCTCCGGCTAGCTTTATCTGGGTGAAATCAAGTGTCATGTCCCATGCGTGTGAACTGCTAAAACTATGTGGGCCAATCAGGACCGTTGAAACATATGGGAATAAGATAGGGCAGATGTTGACGCATTGCCAATAAATTGTGGACGCGAGTCTAATGGGATTGTTATTTAATTCTTTCAGAAGAGGATAAGAATTTGCTTGACATTTTCCCATTTTTTTTCTTTTGTCATATTCTCTTTTGCTTTTACTCTTTTTAGGGTTTCCCTTTGTTTTATCTTCTAAGCATGTAACACTTCATTTGGTTTAGAAAAGCATCTAATTGTACCCAAGTGTGAGAAAACAAAGTAGATTATCGAGAGAGTTAAATTGAGTTTGTTAACGCCAAAAGCAAAAAATAAGGGAGACTTTAGACAAAGATGAGTTATTATTACTTATTTTATAATCAGAATCAGAAAGAATGCCGATATTCACTCAAGCTACTTTAATAAAGTAGATTATCAAATTTAACTGATGAACTTAGAAATACGAATTGGAGTTGATGTGATTGAAAAGAACTTCTTTCGACTTTAATCTAATTTAAAACATATTTATGAAGTGTTTATAAATAAATAGAAATAACTGGTAGATAAATGGGTAGTGCACGTGATTCTCACGAAATATATGAATAAAAATGATTTGAATAGCTACCACTCCATGTTTCTCTTTGCACGGGTTTTCTACATTTTTTCTTATTCTCGTCTCTCAAATAAATGGTGAGCGAGGTCACAAAGGGATGGGATGAGATGCAAGGATCCACAAAAGAAGCTTTTTGTGAAACTTATAAAAATGAGATCTTCTTCTTAAACAATTTCCTATAATGACGTGGGTTAAAAAAAATCAGAAAATCATTAAACTAAAAATTCATATAATTATAAAATACGACGTGTGAAATGAAAATGGTTGTCTATGTTTGACTTTCAACATTTATTTAGATAACTAGGTGCAAGCAACGTGCAATGCACGTTTGCTTAGTTTATATTTAATATTTTTGTTTAATAATTAGTTTATATTAATAAAGATGTAATTTTTTTTGGTTAATTAAGGGCGTGTCTGGGC